TTTGGCCTGCCACATTCTCTATTATTTTACTATGTTGTTTTATTAGTGGGGTAATTGGGAGGGGGAATAGTAAGGAGTAGAATTGTAGGATGTGTTGTTGTCAAAATAAAACATTCCTTTCTAGAAGCCCAAGGTCATTCTTTGTCTCTGCAACTCTGCACCTGACTGGAACTAGATGGGTGGAGATGCCAGCATGGCAGAGGAAGATTGAACCATGTGGGTCCAATCTTGGGCCAAAGGAAAGTTGGCTGGGGGTTTCGGGGGGTTGAAGTCCAGGCATCGTAAAAATTGCCAAGGCTGAGAAAACACAGATAGAGAGGGGGCCCCTATTTGGGGGGTGGGAGGGTGGTTCTCAAACACCACATCCACAACCATCACATACCACCTGGTGTCAACTCTGAAGTCGGCCTGATGAAGGCCATCTTTGAGGCTTCAGTGTTTCCACAACAGGAGAGGAGGGTTAGGGAGGGGGAAAATAGAGATAGCTGGGGGTTTGCAGCCAAAACAAAATAATTTCCCCTGGGAACCAAGGACATTCCAACAAGGGGCTGAAGAGAGGAGCAGTAATGTTACCAAGCAACCGGATAGTACCCTGATTGGATCCTGTGACTGTTTGGGAAAAGGGGAAAAACTTTTACTTTTAATTAAGTGAAACCCGCGGGAAGCATTAGTCGGTTTTCACCAGCCTGTGCCAATATGATAGAGCCAATAAAACTGTGCTTTGAGGAATCTGCCTGCCTCAGAGTTCTGTTTGTTATGGGTGTATTACTTGGAACCCTGACAGGCGGGCTCGGTACCTTGGTAGCTAGCTCCTTCTCCCGCTCCACGAGACTCTCGATGTCAGCCGAGTCGTAGCCGCTGCTCTCGCTGGGGGTGATGGCGCTCTCAAAAGTGGTGGAGGAGATCTGCGAGGAGATGCTGGTGGAGGTGCTGAGGGTGCTACTACTCAGGCTGTGGGAGAGTGAGTCACTCAGGGACTTGGGGAGGCCATCCCCCAACTTCTCACGCAACAGCAGGAAGTGACGCGTCTTCTCCACCTGGGCAGCAAGAGAAGAAGACAGGGACAAAATTATAGAATAAGCAATCCAGATGACACATTATTAAATTAAGAGGGGGGGGGGATAGAAAAGTACTAAGATACAAATATAAAAATGATACAAGTGGATTTATGACAGGGAAAGAAAATGTGGAAGAGGAAAACCATTTTCATGTAAATATGAAGCCAGGACCGCTGGAATGCCACCCTGAAAATACATCAGAGAAAGAAAACAAGCAAGGGCAACAACAAAAGGATGAAGGAAGAGGAGAGAAAAGAAGGAAGGGTAAAGGAGAGGAAGCAAGGGAGGGGAAATAAGAGTAGGAGAGAGGGCAAGAAGAAGAAGAAGAAGAAGAGAGGAGTGGGGGAGAGGGAGGGGAAGAAGGAAAGAAGAAGGCAGAGAAGGGAGGTTGGGAAGAAGGAAGGAGCAGGGTTGTTGCAAAATAAGATGGGAGATATGGGGTGGCAAGAAAGTGATCCCAATTGTGTTTTTTATATTCATAAGCGGATGGTGATAAATGCTAGAAGTCAACAGATAAACGTTAATAGTGTGTACGAGAATGTGTATTTGTGAATGTATATGGAAAGAAAAAAAATAAAACTTAAAAAGAAAATAATCAGGGAGAGACCTGGAATTAAGGAGAAACTTACTAACAGGGAGGTAGCAATTAACCAGCGGAACAACCTGCCACCAGAAGTTGTGGCTGCTCCATCGCTGGAGGTTTTTAAGAAAAGGTTGGACGGCCACTTGTCTGAAACGATGTAGGGTCTCCTGCTTGAGCAGCGGGCTGGACTAGAAGACCTCCAGGGTTCCTTCCAGCTCTATTTTAATTGATTGAAATCTATTTTTTAAAAATGTTCTGTTTGGAAACGAAGTAGATCC